GGCAAGAGGGGAGCCCTGGGGCAGGTAGGACTTTGAGCTCATAATTGAAGGGAGGTGCACTGGTAGCACTCTCTGGCTCCTGTAGTGTCATCTTCCCTCTCTGCTGCTCACAGGCTTTGTTGAATACAAGTGCATGGTAATATTCTGTGTGCTTTTCTTTCTGCAAAGTGCGTAGGCTCCTTTTAATGTGGTTTACTTCCAAATGCACCAAAAAAAAAAAAGCATGCTTTCTATGTGAGCTGGCGTTGTTTTCTACAGCATCTTTTGAGATATCAGGAAATGTGTAAATAAAACTTTTCCTTTTAAGTTGTCTCACTATTGCTTATGGTCAGAAAACTAAATACTTGAGAAGTCAAAATGTAGGGTTTTTTACCTTTTTTGTTGAAATAAAAGTGCAACGGTTCACTCCAATTTAAAATATGAGCAATGGAATAGATTAAACGATTCTTCTCTCAAAGATAACTTTTAATGATGGTGTGATTCTCTGCAAGGAAAAATGTTTTTACTGTTCTTTTAAAAGCGATTCAAATAGAAAAATAAATTACATTTTGTATCACTTTCTCTTTAATGTGATTGAAAATGGGGATGTTTTTAATTATGACAAAAATCTCCATGTTAATGATCTTGATTAAAGGGGCTTTAAAATAGCTTATCTTCCTGGCTACATTCCATCCTAAAGCTCTGCAGATGAAGATGTCTTTCATGTTGAATTTAAATGCTTATTATCCCTTTGAACTCCGCCAGTCCACTTATTTGAAATATTATTCTTCCCTTCCAGCCTATGGAGTCAGCTCACCAAGAGATTTTGGTAATGTCACTCTCTGGGAAACTCCACTGGCTTATTTGAACCTTGAGCTACCAGCTCAGGGAGTGGTATTTAAAAGCTCACTCTGACCTGCTGCCTCATTTCAGTGCCAGGCCTACAGCAGGAACCTGCAGTATCTATGTGGATCCATCACCTGGAACAATGAAGCCTTGATCTCACCTGTGGGCCTCCTATGACAATAACCATTGATAGCTAATGAACAGTGATCTCCGTTAAAGACCTCTTTACCCCTGTGGTACCTACTGTGCAGAAATCTGTGGGAGGGGAAAGAGAGGCAAGACGGGCAGGTCCCTGAAAAACTGCTGTTAGATGTGAATGTGAATAATAGCTGGAAAAGGTTTTTTTTATAGAGCCTCCCATTTTTTTCAGCTGCATCCAGAAACACTTTCCTTTTCATTTACCTGCAATACAGTTCACACATCTGACAATGTCAGGTTAGATGAGCAGCTTACTTGAAGGATACCCAGGTGTACAAATATGGATGGAATGGCAGGTGCTTGCCTTGTGTGTGTTAGGAAACTATCCAGTCTGCTCACCTATTACGCCAGTGAAAGCAGTGAACCTGGTCAGGGATAATGAATGATACAGTCCTCTGTGACCAACTGCTCCTCTACTGCCCAGTCATGGAGGTTTGAGGAACTAATCAGTAAACAGGGACTGATGTAAGCAAATGGAACTCATTATTCCAGAGCATGCAAAGCCAAAGGTTTGGTCCCCTGCACAGCCCCTGAATGGTCATCCTATTTGCTCCTCCTGGTAAGTGGAGAAGTGAAAGCTCTTGATGAATGGATCGAAATACTTGTGCTCTCATCTGTGCAGGTGTTCCTTAGCAAAGGTTTCACTGTACATTTCTTATACTAGAAGGGTATGCACTTCTGCTATTTCTGTCGACCGAGCAGCACACCCGATGAGCAGCTGGGTGTGCTGCTGCCTCTCATGGTCGTGCACAGGCAGTTTTTCTGCCTGCAGATGTCTAGCAGTGGGAGAGGGAGGGTGGGCTTCCAGGGGAAGAGCAGTCAGGGCTGAAGAGGAAATTTCAGGGTAAGAGAAAGTGCTGAGGGTTTAGAGAGAGCACCCAGCATCTGTTCAAGCCCTCTGCCAGCCCCCTCTTTGGTCAGGTGCCTGTCAAACCCTTCCTAGATAGAAGGAAAGCAACACAAGGAGATAAGACTTCTGATGACAGAGGACAACTAGTGAAGAAAAGGGGAAGTGATGTGAGAATCAATTGATCAAACAGGGATCAAGGAAGCATGAGAAATGTTTACTTTTTCAGTTCTGCCTACATGCTTATTAAGCTAGTGCTTGTCAACACAGCCTGCATTGTTTATGTGAGCATCCCTCAGGCCCATGGCCAGCTGTCCTGCTAAATGTTTTACGTGCAATACCTGTAAAAACATTCCTTTGTGGAATGGGGCAGAATGACTCTCTCTATTAAAACTATAGTGCTGTGGAAGAGCTAGAATACCTCCACTCTCCCCTCAAAGCTGAAAAGTTCCCTTATGAGAAAAGCAAAATAGTCTTCTCTTAAGAAATTGTGACTTTGCTTAGTCGTAGTTCTGAAGGTAAATTTCATAATCATGGGGATGCAACAGGAAGAATGCATGGAAGTTTTTAAAAGTAAGTGGTTAAATATGCTTTTGACAGTTGTCCCCAAAGCAGAGCTCAAATAGAAAAGAGAAGATAAAAATAAACACTGCTCAACCCTTTCATTCATTACAGGCTGTTAGATGGGACAGGTGCTGTGGAAAAACTCATGTGTGACTCTGTCATTAGAGGTTGAGTCATCATGCAAGGGCAGGAAGACAGGTGGAGGGGCTGGGGTGACTGCGGCAACCTTAACTAGCATGGACTGATCTTTAGGGAAGAGCTGGTCAGAGGCAGGAATTTCTTGTGTTTTGAGAACTTTTTTCAAACTGAGAATGAAAAGTATAAATTTCCCACTTATAAAAACTAAGCAAAGTATCCAAACTCTGTTTTTTAGGGTAAGAGAATGCTGTTAAACTCTTTGGATAATGACAAACAAAATAAATACGAATATAATAAGAACAGTATGATGTCATGAGTTTGAGGACAATGGTAGAATCAAAGAAGAACTCTGATTCCCTAAAGAAAATAAGAAAACCAAAATCTTGTTCTTGATTTTCACTTTGAAAATACTCTCAACATTAATACTTCACTACAAATGAGAGTTCTGATGAGTTCGAGTTTTTTTTCTCTGTGTTGTTTTAGCAAATGTGAATGCTTCTAAAAATAATCCAACTAAATGCTGAGACATTTCATGAGAAGAAGCATTGTTTACTATGGATGGAAAAAGCTCTGCTGTTTTGCAGTCACTAGTGCCACACATCATTAACTCTATCCTTGAGGGGTGACCTAGAGCTGGGATTGTAGCAGCATTGGTCTCTGTCTCACAGTTACCATTTTGCCTGGAGCCTCCACAATTAAATCACATCACCTCCTTAGTGAGTCGCACACACTATCCACCTGCAATGTCTCCCTTCAGTATGTGGCGAGGGCACAAAAGGCCTAAGGGAGTGGACAAACTAATTTCTCATGGGGATATCCAGAAGAAAACTCAGAGGGCAGATTTAAAGTGTCCACATCATGCTGTAAAGAGCTGTTTAATTGCTCTTTCTATGTCCGGGTTCATGGCTTGTGATCATATACTAATACAGAGGAAAAGGTCGTTGCCCCAGCGTGGCCTGAGCTTGGTAAAGCTGTTGGGTGCCAGCACAGCAATACTGTGACTGCCTATGGAGTGGTAAGAAAGCCTCAGTTTAGTGCTCTTTTGCTCTCCACTACTACATTTTTGGTTGGTTGACATATATGAATATTTTACAATGGCAGGGAGAGTACATGTGGGAAAACCGGCTACCAGAACAGGGGAGCTTGTGTTTCTCTCCAATTACCAGATTGATGTCTGTTTTCCTCCCCCCGTTTTCTTTTTCCCCAGTTGATGAGCAGTGTTTTCAGTAAATGCTTAGAGACTGTTTTCCTGTCTTAAATTGGCATAGCAACACCATCAGAACAAAACTCAAAGGCATCAGCTTAACAACATACTGAAATGGCTTCAGAATATCTAATACAGTCTCATTTTTTTAAGTGTAAGGGAAGGGGCAATTGTGCAGCATACACCTTGGGCTGTTGGAAACCTTTCCTCTATGCACATATTGACTGCCAAATGAAGATAAGCCAGCTAAATGCTTATTTTTAAATTAGGTTTATAATTGTAAACATCTGTTTGAAAAACATTGAAGAAACCTTAGGATGTACTACATACCTGTACAGTAGAAACAAGAAACCAAGTATTATTTATGGCTGGGATCACATGAAGATTTTAACAAGAAAATCCCAGCCATTTATCAATGCTACAATCTTTTTGGTTCGTAAAAAGAAAAAGAGATGTAACTGTGGTTAGAGATCCCCAACTCCTCCTCAAACAACCCTCAAATATGATGGTTTTATCCCCATACTAACTGGTATAAATGTCTCTAAATCTAGTTTGTCACACAATGTTTTGTTCTGTTCAATAACACTGTGTTTCATTGAAGATGCCTGTTTCCTAGAATCGTTGAATAAATAAACCACACTGAACTTGGACTTCGTTGGCTTTGTGAGGAGTAAACCTGACTTTGTTAAATTAAATATTAGTAGCAACTTATATAAACTACAATATTAAAAATCTCTCTTTTTAACTTAGTTTACAAGCATTCCAAAATAATATATCCAGACTCTCTAAAGTTGTTTGTTGTTATACCACTACCAGATATATGGGATATTTTCTACATCAGCGTAACTTGTTTTATGCTTGGTTTATCCCTGCATCCAAAGTTCAAAAACTCCTATGCACCCTGTGGATGTTGACAAAGCCTGCAGCAAGGATTTGGAGAGGCTTAACTCTTCACCATTACTGTGCCTCCTTGGTACCCTAAGCCTTCGGTATAACTGAGTCTCCCTTGTTTTAATGTGAAAAAAAGAACGGATTATTTTAAACTCAGCAAAGCCACTTGTGCACCAGACTGTCTTTGCCGTCCAAGTGAGCGCAGGTAATGAATATGAACGTGCCCGTAGCTAATGAAATGCAAAGAGGGAAGCTTGTGACAAAAGCTGGAATTTGGGCTGGAATTTTCCTTCCGAGATGTGTAACTCACTCTACCGCCCCAGAAGCCTTTACCTCGCTACTGCTTCAGTACAGAGCAGTCTGAGTCTTGCAGTCCCACAAGTTTTCAGTCATTTGCACGCCCGCCTTGCTCAGTCCATTCCTCTGATGGCTCTCACGGATCAGTTTGCATGCAACCAACGACGGTAAGAGGCAGGTACGCGCCAGGATGACCCCGGCTGCCTCAAGCTCCATAGACGGACTCTAAGGGTTCATCTCCAGGGCTCTGGGCTCCCCAGGGCTCCCCAGGCAGCACCCACTCAACTTCCCTCCTGCTGGCAGAGAGGGAAAAGCCCCCTTTCCCGTCTTGCTGCCTGGGTGGGCGAATGTTTTTCGAGGACCACTTCGTCCTTCGGTGCCTTGGTGCCCCTCGGCGGCGGGAGGGTGCCATTGCCAAACCCGATGCTCTCCGGTAGTCGCCGGCGGAGCCGCCCAGCGGGCGGAGCTCGGGGGGATCCCGGCTCCGGGGGAGATACCCTGGCAGAGGGGGTAGGTGGCCGGCCCGGCTGCACTGTCCCCAGCGTAGGCTGGGAACGGGCTGTCTCCTGGGGACACTCACCTCTGCTTCCTCGATTTTTTCTCTCGCCTCAGCCCTTCCTTCCCCCTTTCTCAAAACACCCCAAAGCTGCACTTGTTGCTGTAAAGCAACGCGTTATTGCATTTGCAGATGAGAGAGGACACCTGTCCTACATTCCAAGCTCAAAAATTAGTGGACAGGGCGCTGGGTATATTTGAGCAGGGGGCCAGCAGCACGAGAAGCAGCCCGGTCTGACTGCGGGTGGTTGGGGTGCTCCAGCCCAAAGCCAGATTTGGAGCATGTTCATGGATCCTGGGGTCTGCCCTTCTCTGGGCTCCAATGTCCTCGAGAGAAAGAGAAAACTCCCCTACTGCAGGAATTTTTCCCTGGGTTGTTGGAAGCAAATCATCCTCTCCTGTAGCTTTTATCCAGGAAGGGCCAAGGCCTACATTCCTTGGATCCCCTGGCAGAAGATGCCTCAGTTAGTATACATAGAAAGAACCTTCCCTGAAGAGGAGTGAGGCAGAAGGAGCTTCTCTGATGCTTTTTCTCACCCACTTACATTCACCTAGAAGATAAGGGCATTATTATTATTATTACTTAGATGCAGAGATGTCTGAGTTTGGGCTGGAGAAAGATTGTTTTAACTCATTGTTTTCCAACAGGCAATCTTACAGAACTTTAATCATAACTCTTCAGATGAAGTTTCATGAGGAACAGGGGTTTGCCTATTTTTTTTTCCTCATTTCTTGGTTCTTAACTAATTCGGATGAAATTACATTGTCTCACATGGAATTAATTGATTTCTGCCCATGCTGCTTAAAGTCTCTAAAACATTCCTACCTAAATGAGCTCTTTGGTAATGTAAGCTGAATTTTTCTGCTCTCCAGGCCAATTTTTGGTAAGTAAGTGGTATTTATGCACAGGGAGTCCTCAATGTAATGCCCTTTACTGCAAGTTCTAATAAAAGGCTGGTCTGTTTTGGCTCCTTGTGAAAATAACACTATAAATAACTTCTTTGTAATGAGGACTTTTTAAAAAATGTGAAACATTTTGCTCCAAAAACACCTGGTGCACATTGTGCCATCATCTGGTGGATCTGGCTTTCAGGGTAGATAGACCTCCCATAACTGCATTCACACTGGGGTATCAAAGAGTGCCAGGCAGGTAAAAACATGCAATCTTGGGAGAAAAGACATAAACTACCTGATGTAAACCGACACACAAACCTCACAAACAAGCAAACAAAAACCTGTACAGTTTTAATATATTTTGGGAAGGGTCTGTAGTGCTTACTGAAGCAAAACTGATGCTGATTTAGTGTCTAAAACTGCTGGACTTCGTCTTTAGATTGGTATATGTTATGCTTGCGGAAAAGAGCTTGGAGGCATTGCTTTTTTCCTGCATTAGATTAATTTTATAGAAAGACTGCTGTTGTGAGCAGTATTGGCTGCAAAGGCACTCTTGGAGCAAGACCAGATACATAACTCAGTGGCAGCAGAAAAAAACAAATTTACCAATGCTGAGCAAAAGATGATCTAATGATCTAATGCAGTTTGTATTTGAATGATAGCATATTTAGAGTTTATATTTTCTTGCCTTTTTCCAGAAGAACTGAAGCAATACCATGCCTCCAAAAAGTTCACTCACCTCTTTGGTGAGCAGCTTTCTGAAATTATACAAATCTTTTTCTCCACAGTGCTTTGGTTTTTCTAAGGCGATCACTTACTTTTTACTTTTCTCATAGGAAATATACTTCATATTTTGGCATTTGACATTTCTAACTTCATCAATCCATTTTGTATATTGTGAAAAAAGTCTGCTTGCAAGAAATTCCCAGCATATTTTCTCCCATGCCTTAGTCTAAGTAACTAACACAGCAAGCATGTTTCTGAAGAGTCACAGATAGCACAGGATAAATGACTGCTAATGAAATCAGTGTGACTTCCCAATTTCTCAATTTATTATTGTTTAATAAAGAAAAGCCCAACATAAATTACTGGTAGATACATCAACCATATTGAACAAGGTTGTGGTAAGGGTTTGAGAAAACTGCATTAAATTACAAAGTCTAGCTCAGGTTACTGCAGTTTAGTGTAAGAAAACTGCTGTCTTGGGAGTCGCTTTCTCCATCAGCAGCACTGGTATGTACATACTGATTTTTCAGTACATGTTGATTTGATGGAAATAACCAGCAGCACTAAACTTTAACATGTTGTTCTTGAAGCATGGATATACTGAGGATGTAGCTGGGAAGAGGCAGGGCAGTATAAACTTAACCAGCTTCTTTTTTTTGGTGTGATCTGGGAACAGTAATAACTTATGAAGAGCTGAATAAGGAAGTTGAGGATGATCAAATGGACAAAACCTGCTAGATCATGCACAGAACCATAAAGGATCGGGAACAGGCAAGATCCAGCCCAACTGCCCAAGCAGTGGAGAGAGGAACTTGTTTGACATGGGTGATCCCAAAGGAAGAGTGGGCACAAAGGATATTTTATCAGGGGTTTCCGTAGCCCAATGGTCTGCCAGCATCACTGGCCTTTCCCCACTTCTCTGTTCATTAGTCAGGCCATGGTCTTATATGACTCCTGAATAATGGAGAGACTCTGAGATAACATTTTTTTCTGGATGTCTGTTTTATAAACTATAACTTATTGCTGAAGCTTTAATTTCTAGTCCAAAAGCCCTAAAAACCATGAGCCTCCAGGGAAAAGGTGTACTTTGAGTAACAAACAAAGCCAAGAAAGAAGGGAAATTGGGCCTCAAGGGATGTCTGGGGATAATCCTGGTCTCTAGTGCTGGGAAGACACTGATAGAATGAGTGCTAACACCAGAGAATTGCCCAAGCTACAGCAATTAATCATGCAAGGAATTTGACTGCTGGATTCCCCTGAGGCAGGAGGCAATGGTGCAAAAAGTAGTGGAAATGCCCACATCTCTAATTCACCAAAAGCAAGAGCTCTTCTGCTGTCAGAGGCTGGCAATGTGTTCCACCTGTGGTTCACATATGGCTTGTGTATGTCCCATATAATAAAGGTGTTACCAGCACGTGCAAGCTGAGAAATACGGCATTCAGAAAGTTTAGGCATTTGAGGGTTAAGGCTGCACATGCAATTGCAGTTTGGACTCCTTCTGCTAATGCGTTCTTTGATGGCAGCCTCAATTATTTGATCAGATAAGGATCTTCCCTGCAGAACTGCTGGCAGTGCTGTTAGTTGCAGCGCAGACCTTTCTGTCTGCTGAAAACTGAAGGTAGACATTAGAACTCCACCTGTCTCAATGTGACATTGCTACCCATGAGCAACTCTTTCTTGTGATAGGGACAATCTTCGGGCAAACACAAGTGGTTCTACTAAGGGGCAAAAATGCTGGAGTATTTTAGTTTTAATTTTTAAGGATTTACAAGGAGGAAGGCACATGCAATGTAGTCAGTCTCTTAGCTGTATCTCCAACTTAGAAAATCAGTGCAGCTTCACTGTAATCACAGACAGTTATCTTAGCTGTCAGATTTAAAACAATAGATGTCATGTAGGCACAAACAATACATGATAAATATCCTAAGTGTTTACAGTAACTGTGAAGCGTTGCCCATATCGCAGTGTGCTAAAGCCTGTTCCCAGGGAGGAAAAACCAGCATGCAGCTGACAGCTGCTCCCTCGCTGAGCAAATGCTTCTTCATAGGCATCACAACCCTCAGCAAGCTATTTCAAAAAGGAGACAGGGGGCCTTTATCAGAGTTGATTATTCCCAGAAAGAATAAGCTGCAGCCTTACTTTCCTGTTAGCTTGATTTATAAGGGGTTTTTTTTCTATTGCCATTTGTTTGCTTGTTTTCCACTGGCCTGCTAAAGTTTGCCAAGCTCAGTGAGGTAGGAAGAAGGGATTCACTATTTTGCACTTGAGTTTGCTGTTACTCTTCTAAAGCTTTTTCCATATGCTACTATGGAACATCTTTTTCATTTGCATGCAATTGGAATTTCTTTTGCAACTTATTTTTTACCTCTGTATAGCTATTCCTCTATCTGCAGTGAGAGATAGCATGCTACTCCTCCAAACTAAACCATGTATATGTGAATTAACATCCTCCACTCGATAGGGTTGAGCACGCTGTGGTATGACAATCACCCACTCAACCCAAGGGAATGGACTTATCCCTAACGCAGCTTAGGTCTAGGGCAGTCTCAGTGTCTCATCAAAAAGTAACTCAGTACAGTCATCAATACTAAAACCCAAAACATTTAAATTGAGGGTTATTTTAATTTTCAGAATATTACCAACCATTGTGTCTTCGTCTTTCTCCCTCCCTCCTCCCTGATGTTTTGCTCAATTTTATTCTGGACTCTCAGAAGAGGAAGTGTAACCATGCAAAACAACATAAAAATGAAATTATAGTTATAACCAGAAGACAACAATCCAAAACCAAGAAAAAAGCCACTTTGGCAAACATGAGGTACAAAAGCTCATGGTTCCTCCATCAACCCATAGACACCATGGCACAGTGAGAACGCCGTTGTATCTTTAATGCCTAGCTGCAAGTCCAGCATCAGATACAAGAGCCCAAGTCAACTTTGGGGGCACAACTTGGGCTTTCCTTCAGTCCTGCCAGGTCTGAAGCATATTTGTTCTGCTGCAGTTCCGTTGTATAAAATACAAAGCAAGAACATGCAATCAAACAGTGAGCACTCACTGCCATGGGGTTTTACCTGAAATCAATGTTAAGTCGTGCTGTGCCTCCAGTCCCATCTCAGAAGTCATTAAAAATAATTAAAATAAATAAAAAAAAACAACAGGAAAAGAGCTAAGTTTGCCCAGCAGTTACTGAGCAGGATTTATCATGTCCTCTTGAAGCTAACGCTGAGACGCTTTGGTGAATCGAGGCCAAGGGGACGGCCGGGGATGGCTTGGTGCTGCCCCCGAGTGCTGTGCCTGGGCGGTGGGAGAAGGTGTCCCCGCGGCAGGGTCTCTGCCGGGTGGGGCGGGCTGTGAGGTGCGGGAACCTGGTGATCCACAGAAGGCCACCGCCTAGCCCTTCGGCGGCGGTCCCTGCGGGAGGGCTCGGTGCTGCCAGGGCTGTGCCTGTGACCGCCCGCGCGTACCGCTCCCGGCGCATCCCGCTCCCGCGCACGCCGCTCCCACGCGCATTCCCGCGCATACGACGCCCCGGCACCTTTTCCTCCCACACAGTCCCCTCGCCCACCTCCGCAGTCCCTCCAGCACCACCCGTCCCCGGGGCTGGATCCCTCCGGCGGCCGCCCCCGCTCCCCCGCGGAGCCGCGCTCGGGCGCCGCCGCCTCCCCGCCCTGCCGCCGCCGCCGCCATGGCGGAGCGGAGCCGCGGCTCTCGGCGGCGGCTGCTGCTGCTGCTGCTGCTCCTGGCCGGCTCCGCCGCCAGCCCGGCCGAGGAGGGAGGCGGGCGGCGGGAGGCGGGCGGCGGGGAGCACGGCGAGGACGCGGCGCGGCACCACGACTCCTCGTACGGCACCTTCGCCAGCGAGTTCTACGACCTGCGCTACCTCTCCGAGGAGGGTGCGGCGGCGGCCGGGGCGGGCGGCGGGGCCGGGCGGGGCGCGGCGGGCGAAGGGGGCAGCGCGGCCGGGGCAGGGTGGG